GGGGTGGGGGGTGGAAGTGAGTGGAGATTCCAGTGGAGATTCTGTGGAGGGAGCCTGTAAAGCTTCCCAAAGGACTTGGAATCTTCTGAAGGACTCAGTCAGACCTTGCCGTCTAGCATTTTTCAAACAGGTTAGACTGTCGCAGGGAAGCATCACCGGGCCTTTGCTAACTGTCCCATCTTTCATAGTCATGCCCTTGATCAATTGGTCACGCTGCGTTAACTTCAGCACATGCCCTGGTTAGGTGGTGGTCTCTGCGTCAACAGTCCTGTCTGGTACCACAGGGAGAACGCAATGTGAGAAAACGGGGAGCTTGAAATCGAACCTATCTCCAGTGGTTCTCCTTAGCAGGAGCATCTAATTTAGGCCTGATTCCATTTCACCGAGGCGCCCACCTGCGGATTGAGAGGTTTTCTTTCAGAAAACACAGCAGGCTAAGCGGTGTCAACCAGCTCTATTGATTGTACCTGATGAAATCTTTGTTGCAACTCAGACTGTGGTTAACTGCAGGGGCTGGCTGATATTTCCTGAGGCCCCCCGTCTCCATTCAGATTCATTTGAGGCCACTATGATTACCTTTACTTTATTCCTTGGTTAGGGTCCTATGTTCTGGTGTGATTTTAGAAGCACATTTAAGGAAGGCACTAATCTCTTAGGGTAAATTGGTGCTAATGAAAAAAATACACACACACATCTGCTCCCCCAAGGACCTGGGGAGTAGGTAATGGTAAGGAAGAACCCAAACCATATTTTGATAAGTGCTTTAGTGAAGCTGGGGAGAACCTTGAGGTGCCTCAAGCCTTAGCATTTCTATTTCTGGATTTAAACTAAAAATTTCTGCGTTAAAGTTACAGAAAAACATCGGCCAATGCCTTATCCTGCTGGTCACAGAGGATGAACCCATTAAATATATGGTGCAAGAAAACCCAGTGAAATCAATAGGTCCCAGCACTTCACTCCCTTTCTCTGTAGAACCACATGCTGGACTTCCGAAAGGCAAGGTTCTCTGGTTTCTGGGGGCTTTTCCTAGATATTGTCTCCAAATTTAAACTTACAGCGTTGAGACTGTAGCAAGAGGAAAAGACAAATACTCATGGGAGTCTGGTGTATCATGTTAACGTTCTAGATTCATTCAGAAAAGGACATTTTGTGAACGAGGGTGTACTGGTGAACAGCGATATCATGGAAGAAGAGATCTGTTTTCTTGCCACTGCTGGGATCTACCCCCTGAGTCTTGTGATCATTGGGGGGATAGGGAGGTGAGTCCACCCCCTGGGTTATGGATGAAGGATGTGGTCTTCCTTTTGTCACATTCAATATAATTGACCTGACTAGAGGGCACAGCAAAGGTGATATTAGTGTGCACTGAAGGGCCACTTTTCCTGACATACTCGCTGATGTCCCCGTCATCATGTCCGTTTCTTATAGACGTTCTAGACCTGATCATCTCAGCTACCTTGTATCGAGTATGAATCGTAGTGTATTAATCAGATAGGAGAGCAAAAGGTACAACTTTACTTGCTTTAAATCAACTTAAATCCAATTCTAAGGCCCATAATTCAGAATCATAAGAAATTCCGTCTCGGTCATTGTCGGGGCCTCCTCTGTGTCCCAGGGTTGTACAAAAGTCCCTGGCTTTACTCGGACAGCACCAAATCATTAGGGAGACTCCCCTGATGGTGGATTCTAGGTCTGCTCCATGCAGCTTGGGGAAGCCCATTGTTTCAGAGCACCTGCTCCCTCAGGTGAAACAGCTCTGCTGGTGTGGGCTGGCCTGGAGCCGGAGAGTGCCTGTGGAGGCCGGGCCCTCTGATGAGATCCAGCCTCTAGTTGCCCTGCCAGTCACCCTCCCTAAGACCTCCCAGGGTGCCAGAAGGCATGCAGGACTCTGCCCAGGGCTGAGACAACCACCTTCCTGGGGTCTTGTCACCTCCCAGGAGTGCTGCCCTGGGAAGGCATGAGTTGCCCAATGCCCCAGGTTAAAGTTAGTTTCTCCCCAAAACAGATTCTGAGCCAAGCATTTGGGGCCAAATGACTTATTAAAGGAAATACTCCCAAGATCAACAAGTAGGGAACTGGGGAAGCAAGTCAGGAAACAAGAAACCAAACGAGAGTGATTTTGACTGAACTCCCAGCCTCAGCCTGATCCCATGGGGTGCTGGGGATTTAAGGGCACCTGGAGGAACACCTGTCAGTCCTTGACTACAGACAGCCTTTGGGTGTGCGTGGGAGGGGGAGGGCGTAAATGGGGGCATTTTTCAGCTCTTCATATGAGCAAGATGAAGAGCTGAAGGTGGCAGGTGCCAGGTCTCTGCAACAAAGCTCACACATAGAAGCTGAGCTGGTAAAAGGTTACACAGGGACCTGGGTGGGGTACCCACAGTGCTCCTTAGGAGAGTTATCACATCGCCATGAAATGGTACCCCAGCACCCCACTGCATACGGTTGCCCTGGGGAAAACTGAAGACAGAGGTGGAGAAGAAGGTCTTTCTTTAAATGTTTATATATAATAATACCCCAGAAAAATGGACTCTCAAGGCCTGTTCTTGTTCAAGAATTAGCATGCAACTTAATGTGTTTGTGTCCCTGGGGCATGTCACAGAAGTAATGGGGCAGTGGGCTGTTTAGTATAAATCATGGACTATTTTTACTGAGCAAAGCAGGAGCATCTGCGTCTCTGGTCTGTTCCTTCAGACCAGAGACGCAGATGTTTCAAATTCTCATTTGACTTCGTGTGAAAACATCCATCCCTTTCAGGAGAAATGAAACACAAAGCCTTGAAAAATCAAATAGAAAAGAATCACGAATCTGATGGGGAGATACAAAGGTTTCTAAAAAGAGAACTTGTGGGCGGGGGAGAAGAGTTTGTTTTGAAATGTAACCCTGGGAAGATGCTCTGATAAGATGCTGATGGTCTCTGAACCCAACAGGAGAGCAAAGGATGGGTGGAGGAAGTCTTAGAATTCTCTTCAAAGCAACCTAGGAGAATGTGCAGCTTTGAAAATACAGCAAATAACTGAGGGGGAAAGAGAATAGTGCCCAGTAGATGTTTGATACAGGAATATAATTTTAAGGCTTTGTCGTGCAGGATTAAAAGAGATGAATGTACACAGACCATGGTTGGTACCCAGGAGCCCTAATCAGCGCACTGGGCCCCGGTCTGGAAGGCTGTCATGGGGAGCCAATGCCAAAGAGGCGAGACAATAGAGTCAAATGTTGCCTATGACTCAAATAGGGCCAATAACGGAACTTTAGGTTTCTTTGTGGATTTTTCTTTAAGGTATATGAATTTGGGGAATTGATTTTTAAAGGCAGTTGGGAGCTTTGAAAGTAAAGACAAAAAAAGGGAAAGGGAGACTATGTGACATTTAAATTATTCCTCAAACCAGCCCAGACAGATAAGTGGCATTATCCTGTTTTACAGATGGGAAACTCAGGGCTTGAAAACATTAAGTCATTTTCCCGCACCCCAGTTCATTAAGTGGAAAATGAATACACTTCACTCTTTACCCCTTCCACCCACCAACAAATATTTATTGAGCACCTACCGTGTGCTTGTTCTGGACTCTGGGGAACCAGATGATTATTTGAACCTGTATTTAGCTGATCCTGGAGGCCATTCTTTTTTCACCAGTGTCTAGTGACAAAGCTCATTTAAAGTTGAGTTCATGAAAATTTGGATTATACTATAAGAGATTCACATGGAAAGGAGAAAATATAAAAACAAGAGAAAGGTATGGAACACTTAATGCTTCTAGGTTTAAGGGCTTAGTGGAGAGAGCCCAATCCATTTTGCCTGATACTTAAAGAAAATAACAGAAACAACAACAAAACTAATAACCTTTTATGGTTTCATTTTCTCATTATAAAATTGAAAAAAAGTATAAAGAAACAAAAATTATTTTTCAAGTTATAAGCCAGAGAGAATGACTGTAGTTATATTAAAGTATGTTTTTCAGCCCCCTTTTCTCTCTTTGGCTGTTTAAATATTTTTTCTTTTGGTTTTAGTTTTTAGCAGTTACTTATGTATTATGTCTATGTGTGGTTTTCTTCATGCTTATCTGGCTCTGGACTTTGTAAATCTGTAGGTTGATGTCTTTCATCTGTTTTGGGCATTTTTCAGATATTATCTCTTTACATGTTGTTTTTGCTCCATTTTCTCTCTTCTCCCTCTGGGATACAATAACCCTTGTATACTGATCATAAAGTCTAGGTGAGTTGTTAGTTTTGTCCGGGCCTGCCCAGCTCCCACACTGAGAAAGAAATGAACGTGATCATATGAGAGCCGTGATGGTGTTAAATTTCTTTACATTTAAAAAGCGGGAGATATGACTAATACATGCATTTTCTATTATGAGTTTTTTCTTGGTAATTCTGTCCAGTGCCGTTGTTAGCAGGCTCCGTATCGCTGCCTTTTCCATTCAGTGAAACATGGACGGATTCGATTCTAAAATGGAATGCTTCAGACTTTTAATAGCTCTCCTTCTCTTTGATTCTCTCTAGTCATTGAAGAAAGAAACTGCTCAGACCCTGGGGGCCCAGTCAATGGGTACAAGAAAATAGCAGGTGGCCCTGGGCTCATCGATGGGCACCATGCAAAAATTGGCACTGTCGTCTCCTTCTTCTGCAACAGCTCCTATGTTCTTAGCGGCAATGAGAACAGAACCTGCCAGCAGAATGGAGAGTGGTCGGGGAAGCAGCCCATCTGCATAAAAGGTAACTTGCAAATATTCCTGAAGGCTATAGAAACAGAGGTGGGGTTGCTGGACTTGGGTAGCTCCCATACATGTTTTGGAGTCCCTGGGAGAATGCCTTTCTCTCTTACATTCTCACGGGAACCATATATTTATTAATCGTAGGTTGAAACCATCCCTAAAAACACTTGCCTCCGCTTTGGATCGCCAAAGGACCTGCTCACCCTAGTCACAACATCTTGATGTGATTGAGAAAAGTGATGTAGTTATCAGAGCAGTTTAGGAAAGATAATAGCGCTGCAAACCTAAGGACAGAATTGAAGCAATCGATAGGCATTTTTTAAAATCCTCACCTGAGGATATTTTTCCATTGCTTTTCAGAGAGAGTGGAAGGGAGGGAGGGAGAGAGAGAGGGAGAAACACCAATGTGAGAGAGACACACCAGTTGGTTGCCTCTTGCACGTGCCCTGACCAGGGCTGGGGATTGAGCCTGAAACTGAGGTACGTGCCCTTGGCTGGAATCAAACTGGGGAGCCTTCGGTTTGTGGGCTGACACTCTAACCACTGAGCCAAACCGGCTAGGGCTCTATATGCATTTTTATAGCTACATTTATCAGCTCTCTGTGTAATGTTACGTTAGTGCGGGAAATGAAACAACAAAATAGACACAACATTCCTGCCAGACTAGGTGGAGGGAGGTTGAGATGTTAAAATGTTTAAAAACATCTTTAGGAGACAGAAAACCCTCGAGCTTTCAAGGCAGAGCTGTAGGAACAGATGAGTGGTGCACGTTCAGAGAAGTGAACGATCCTATTGCCTGAGATAGGGACAGATGCATGAAGCGAGGAGGGCTGGAGCCAGGCTGGGAGGCTGGGGAGGACTTGTAGAGGCGAAGAGGAGCTGGGATGATAACCCAGTCAGAGGAAAAGGGAGAAGGGAAGAGGTGTGGGCAGAAGCGAAAGAACCGCGTCAACTGAGTGAGGCGATCTGGGGATCTGGGAGGTAAATGAGAAAAGGTGGTTTGGGACCAGGAAAAAGTGGAATGTTGCGCAGAGAAGCTTGGCCCTGACCCCTTGGCAGTGGGGATGTGCACTTTCCTACTATTTGCTCCAGGTCAACAGCCCCTCTCTTTGAGGGGCTGTTTCCAGGGAAGAAAAGCGTGTCCTTGGCCTAGATTATCCAGATAATTGCCTCAGTCCTCTAGTTTCCCTTCTGGGTATTTGTCAACAAGCCTAATCATGGGAAAGGAATGAAAGAGAATGGTTTGTGAAAAGACTAAATCACTTTAGACTTTAGCCAGAAGCGACTTTCATCCCCACCCGCACAGACTCTGATTCTTAATTTCATTAAGCATGGAGGCGGTGTTGCATATGTCCTTGGAGATTTTTGTCAGCTCTTCTCTTACAAGTTAATACAACCAAAGTTCCCTAGGTTGCTAATTAGATGAATGTTGGCTGCTTGATTGAGAAAGTGAGATGGGTAGGATTTCTTTTTACTGGTGAGGAAGAAAAGACTTCAAAATTCAACAGGGCTTTGACTCGCCCTCAACTGATTGTTGGGAGCCTTCTTTGCAGAGAAGGGACATGGAGGAATCAGTTACCCAAGACTCACTGGTTGACCCTGCTGTCCGCTTTGAAACGAGAGCCTTGTGATTCCCCGTGTTGGGCCAGGTTTCAGAACCTTCGCTTTGACTTTTGTTCCATTTTGACCAACTTTGCTAATACTATTTATGCGAACAGATAACCCTAGTCTATTAGCCGCAGCTGTTCCAGATCACGCAAGTGGAGCAGCCCTTCCGACGCGTATACCTGGGCCCTTCGGAGGGGTGTCAGCTTAGATGAAAGGCAGAGCGCCCTTCTGCCAAGGCAGCTCTTCTGTCTGAGCTGGGCTGACATGTCCCACCTCAGAGAGCCTGGGGGATGTGCAGGGCCAGGAAAAGGTGGTCAGGTGTGAATCTGAACTGAATGATGTGAGCAGTTAAAATGGAAAAGGGTTATCCAGCATTGTCTCTTTTTTTCTTAGCCTGCCGAGAACCGAAGATCTCAGACCTGGTGAGACGGAGAGTTCTTCCAATGCAGGTCCAGTCAAGGTGAGGCTGAAACACCCGAACTCTGCTTTAAAGGCGAAGGGAATGAAGGTTCCCTCCCACCCCTTTTCCCACTTGGGTTTGGCCAGACAGCCTGGGGTTTCTTAGGGACACTCAGTGCTGACTGGCCATGAAAGAAAAGGGCTTGTTAGGTGGCGACTTGTTAGCCAGCTGCGTGTAGCCAAGAGGTAGCGTTGTTGGAAGATGTACAGATTTCACTGGATCGTGGGAAAGGAGGCGGCTTCTGGGAAGCAAGGCTTTAAGATGACCTTTGATGACCTGGATTTCAATACTTCACTCTTCCTGTAATTTCTGTGCATTTATTATGGCAGCTCCTAGGGAGATGGCACTCCTGCCAGGCGTAGCCAGCTGTGGCTCGGGAAGATGTTCTTGGTGGGAACCAACCAGGTGAGGCAGGCTGGTGGAGCCCAGGAACTAGAGATAAACGCCCAGCCCTGAGGAGGGCTGGCTGTGAGCTCTCAGTGCGCCCACCCAGCCTTACTCCTGGAAAGACAGAGGGGGGCACCCGGTGAGGAGAGAGCAGACCCCTTTCTACTTCTCCCTCCCTTATTTTATAGGAAATACTCTTCTCATCTCACCTCCCAGCATTCTCCCCTCACTCTCTGCGCTCCAGCCACACGGGCCACCTGGCTTTCCCTGCATCCCTCCAAGCACCGTCTGCTTCAGAACCTTGGCGCTTCTGTCTGGAACCTGCTTCCATGGAATTTCACCGAGGCTTAATGCCTCCGTTCCTTCAGTTCTCTGCTCAGATTTTACCTGGCAGAGAGACCTTCCCTGACTATCCTTAAAAAATAGCAACCCCTCTCCTTCACCCTGACCGCCCAGCTGACTTCTTTATCCCCGCACTCTCTGGCCTTTACTATGCTTCACTTTTCATCTTAGCATCCATCTCTACCTGTTGTCTTACGTAGTTTTTTTGGTTTATTTCTTCCATTCCCATTCCCCCAATCCACCCAAAAATGTAAGTTACATGTTCAGGAGCATTTCATTTCCCCTTTTGAAAAGAAGGATAATCATCATAACATCAGTCTTGGGGCATTGTTGTAAATATTAAATGCAACACTAACTTTGACTGGGTGCTTTCTGTGTGCCCGTTGCTCTTCCAGGTGCTTTTATTTGTATTAGCTCATTGAATCCTCACTACAGCCTCTGAGGTAGGCCTTATTATCATTTTATTACACATTTATTACAGATGGGTAAATTGAACCTCAGAGAAATTAAGGACCTTGCCCCAGGTCACACTGGTAGGAGAAATGGCAAAGCCAGGATGCAAATCCAAGGTTTTCAGGGTCTGAAGTCTTCAGGGCCTGCTCCCTTATGCACTAAACTTTAGCTAGGCCTATGTAAAGGCCTTAGCAAATCACCTTAGTCTTATGAACACCGTCAGTAAGAGCTATTGTTTTTGGAAATACTAATAATGAATCCTAGTGACTAAAATTAACCCCAACCCCAGCTGAGTGACCTGAAATGTTCGTAAATTAGGATATTCATCCACCTCTCGTCCTTCCTCCGTCTATTTCAGTCCATTTCTGGCTTTCCCTTTTCTGTGGCAGTGGAGTCCAGATTCCTCCCCTTTTTCTGATCTTTGTGATTCACCTGGGCTGCACTGTCAGTGGATAAGCCTGATATACCTGTCCTCGACAAGGAGACATCTTATAGAGGGGGCCCTGAGCTGTTAAAAAAGACCTCGGGCTTTGCATTTTTTTAAAGCAATTGTAATGGGAGGTTAGGTGCCAGGTGCCGCATGCAGATGGGAAAGCAAGCCTAAAACTTGGTTTTAAGGACTTTCTGGAAGACAGGCTGCTGGAGCGGGGATATGCCTCTCTCCAGCACCCAGGCTTACCCAGGAACCCCCAAGGACCATGTAGACCTTCCACAGATGGCCCAAGAGATGAGCTTGTTCACAAGTCCAGGAGCTCCCTGAACTGCAGACGTGGTTCTGAACACGAGCTGAAGATTTGTGGAACGAAATCCATGTGGATGGGATATCTGCTCTGAGCAAAGCCCTGTAGAGACACATGAAATAGATCACTTGAGATGATATGAAATTGGTGTGGTGGGGACAGCGGGTTGGACTCATGATGTCTAAGTGCTGCGTTGGGTACCGTCCTAGCTTCCTGTGTGCCCTCTGGACTCCCACTTACCTTTCTGGGCTTCCTTCCTCCATTTAATAAGCAAAGATGAGAACATCGGTTCCTAAAGGAATTCCAGCTTTTCAGTTAACAGTCATTATGCACCAATATAAAATGAACACAAGCTGTATGATGTGTGTACACCTCCCCCAAGAACCCCAAAGTGGTCTCCATGGGCTTCAACTTCAGGCTCATTTAAAAAAACCTTTCGACATCTACATACAATGCTCCATATTTTTCCCAGTCAGTGTGCCCTGAGAGAAAGCTCTATTCTCTGAGGTGTACTAATTATATCTGCTAATTGCTAAATCAAGCTACTGTAGCAACACAGTTTAGTTCAAGTCAATTTCTGATATTGCCCCATTATGATAATGGTAGAGAAAAAAATACGCCTGGATTTCTCTCATTCAAATTAACTTCCTTTCCTGTTTAATTTCACAATTAATTTTGTGTGTGTGTGCATGTGCAGTGTTCCTTTGGATAGCAGCTCTTATGTCAGATGTTATCCTCTTTGGTTAAAATCCTCAGCACCTGGAGACATGCCAGAAATGGAAATTGAGAATAAAATGAAGGGTGAAGTGTGCATGATAATTTGCTCAGTGGTAGAGGGGAAGTGTGAGTGTGTGTGTGTGTGTGTGTGAGTGGGGGCAGGGGAGAGAGGAAGGAAGACAGATGATGGAAGAAAAAGGGGCGAGAGATAGGATCCATTGTTTTCTTCTGCTGTAACCAAATGTCTACATGGGGACTGACGTGGAACTAAAAGGCCGTGCTGACTGTCTCGCTTTGCCCTCCCTCTGGCCCGCGTGCCCCGATGCAGGGAGACCCCACTGCACCAGCTGTACTCCTCGGCCTTCAGCAAGCAGAAGCTGCAGGGCGCCCCGACCAAGAAGCCCGCGCTGCCCTTTGGAGAGCTGCCCGCTGGGTACCAGCATCTGCACACCCAGCTGCAGTATGAGTGCATCTCGCCCTTCTACCGCCGCCTGGGCAGCAGCCGCAGGACCTGTCTGAGAACCGGGAAGTGGAGTGGGCGCGCCCCGTCCTGCGTCCCGAGTGAGTCGAGGCCCGCCTTTGGGCGGGAGCAGCTTATATCCTGCACGGCTGCCTGTGAAAAGCCATTGAGCCCCTTTCTGGGAAAAGTTTCTTGCCCAAAGGAATGGTACTCTAATACTTTTCCTAGCTTCCACAGTTAGTGATTCCTAGTGATTCCACAGTTAGAGCTTCCTTCCTTTGGCTTAAACTTATTACCCAGGAGAAATTAACTCATTAAATCTTAGATAATTTTTTGAGGGGGGGGGGGCCTACTTTCTCGTGGATAATTCTATTATATTTACTTGGAGAAAAGGGAGAGAGCAGTGGGGAAGGGGCTAAAGGTGCCCGGTAGCTTCTAGTTATGTCATCTTGGTTACCCTGTCTAAGCCCCATTTTTCATCCTTATTATCTAATGGTATTAATTAGGTTATTGTTATTCATTAGATCTAGAGGTATTAATTACTCATAAGGTTGTAATGATGATTACTGAGATAATATGTAGAAGCGTTTGGAATAGGGTCTTGCCCATACTAAGCTACCTTCCCCATCCTCTTTGTCAGAGGAAAACAGTGTGGCTTAGTTCATGGTGGTCCCTTTATAATGACAGGCATAATATTTTGAGTCTAACTGGTTTTATACATCATCTCGTTCTATGAGATGATTGCTATTACTATACCCATTTCGCAGACAAGAAGACTGGGGCTGTCAGAAATTAGGTGACTTGCCCAGTAAATGCCTGGGATTGGAAGTTTCCAGTCTTAACCCAGTAAATGCCTGGGACTGGAAGTTTCCAATCTTAACCATGTCAAGGTGATTGAGTAATATTTAAAAAAGCAAAAAGAAAAACACGTTGGATGCTTAGTGGTCTTGACACCAATGGGTTTGTGCTCTCTTGGTTGTGTGACACATTCCCCTTTTGATGGGAAGGTCTGAGTTGACCTTACTGAGCCAGTGCTTTCTCCATAGTCTGTGGAAAAGCTGAGAACGTCACTGCTCCAAAGACCCAGGGGCTGCGCTGGCCATGGCAGGTGGCCATCTACAGGAGGGTCAGTGGGGTGCATGGTGGCAGCCTGCACAAGGACGAATGGTTCCTGGTCTGCAGCGGAGCCCTGGTGAATGAGCGGACCGTGGTGGTGGCTGCCCACTGCGTGACTGACCTGGGGAAGGTCACCATGGTCAAGACGGCAGACCTCAAAGTCGTCCTGGGGAAATTCTACCGGGATGACGACCGCGATGAGAAGACCATCCAGAGCTTGCGGGTGAGAGGGGGTTGCAACCTGAACACTGGGTCTCTGGCTCAGCAAACTCCCAGCATAGGAGAGCAGTGACGGTGTCAGCCCTGTCACCTTACTTAGCACCTTAGCACCTTAGCACCCAGCACAGAACCTGGCATGGAGCAGGTACCCAGTATTTCATATTGACAACTACTAGAAAGGGGGCACCTAGAAAAACTAAAGAATATTTTCCCTTTCAATTGTTTTAAAAAACAAGATAGTAACAAATATCTATCATTGTGGTCATCAAAAGTTAACCACTTATTATGGTGTTTAGGGCACTGTAATAGGTAGGCTTTGAGGACATAGAGAGGTTTTATCCAAGATACTCCTAATCAATTTAAAATATTCTTCTCTGTTTCCCTGCCTGCCTCCTTCTCTCCTACTCTTCTGTCTACCTATCCGTCCGTCCGTCCATCCATCCATCCATCCATCCATCCATCCATCCATCCGACCATCTACTCATCTGTCCATTTGTTCATCCATTCATCTATCCGTTAATCCATCCATCCTTCTATCTGTCCTTTAATCTGTCCATCCATTAATCCACCCATTCATCCATCTGTCCATCTACCCACCGACCCACCCACCCACCTGTTGTTGAGCTCCCATAGTATATGCCATTCACAGGGGATAGATACAGAACTGAATAAGGCATGGCTTTTGCCCTGAAGAGTCCACAGGCTAGCGGTGAGAGACAGACTAGTGTATCATGATTAGTTCAATTCAAAGATGCCCAAAATGTAGGTGAAATAATAGAGCATATACATAAAATGTTACAAGGTATCACAGATGTAAGTTCCTAGAGGCCCCCACCAAAGACAATGATCAGCAAGGAATGGGACAATCAGGAAAGACTTGTGGAAAAGGCCTGTGGAACATCCTGTCTTCCTAGATTGAAGGTAAATGAAATGTTTACAATGGACCAGGGATTGCAAACTGGTAGCCTGCAAGGGTTTGTGTTTCGATAGGGCTAACATATTTTTAAATCAGTTATTTGCCAACACTTAAAAATCAGGTCTCAGATTAAGATCCACAAGCTATTCCCTGGCAAAGTTAGAATGCTGGCCTCGTTACTACGTGGCCGTGGTGAGCTGGAGCGAGGTGGCAGTTGCCCACTTTAGACGGAGTGTACCTCTCATTCTCTGCAGCCTCACCTGTCCACCCCTCTTATTTAACACCCTCTGCCAGGCCCCAGGCGGCATTTCAGTTTGCAACCCTGGAAATCCGGCAATTGCTTTCTATGATCCCTTGAGCAAAATACCTCCAAATCCAGCTGTCTCTTAGACATTTTCTCCCAATCATCAGCCCTGGGCTTGCCTGCTCTTGTCCACCCTGGAGTGGGCTGTTCACCATTGCTGTCCGTTCCTTGCATGTGTAGATTTCTGCAATCATTCTGCACCCCAACTACGACCCCATCCTGCTGGACGCTGACATCGCCATCCTGAAGCTCCTGGACAAGGCCCGCATGAGCACCCGCGTCCAGCCCATCTGCCTCGCGGCCACGCGGGACCTCAGCACCGCCTTCCAGGAGTCCCGCATCACCGTGGCCGGCTGGAACGTCCTGGCAGACGCGAGGAGCCCCGGCTTCAAGAAGGACATGCTGCGCTCAGGGGTGTTCAGGGTGCTGGACTCGCTGATGTGTGAGGAGCAGCATGAAGAACACGGCATCCCAGTGAGTGTCACGGACAACATGTTCTGTGCCAGCGGGGACCCCGCCAGCCCCTCCGACATCTGCACGGCAGAGACGGGGGGCATCGCGGCTGTGTCCTTCCCGGGACAGGCGTCCCCTGAGCCCCGCTGGCATCTGGTGGGGCTGGTTAGCTGGAGCTATGACAAAACATGCAGCCACAGCCTCTCCACGGCCTTCACCAAGGTGCTACCTTTTAAGGACTGGATCGAGAGAAACATGAAATGAGCCTCGGCCCACTGCGGAGCTCGTCTGCACGTCCGTCGGTGCGTGCGTGTTGCGTGAGGCAGTGTGGACCTGAGGTGTGATTCTGCCCTTGAATTTGGCTGAGCCTGGGAGTCTGATTTCAAGGAGAGAACTAGTGGAGGGTGAGCAGAGCTCACTTTCTGGTAGGCCCCTGCCTCCCTGACTGCTCAGACTTTTTAGAAGACACCTACTTGCAAGAACTGAGTTTCTTCTAAAAAGACTAGTTGAACAGCAAAGTAAACGTCCCCATTAGACCGACCTGGGGGCCTTCCCCACTTGCCCTTCAACGGTGCAAATGTCAGGGTCAGCTCTGGTTGAGAGAGGGTTGACCAGGAGGCCTGGGCTTCATGGGGTCCCTTCCAAGGCTCCAGCCAGACCAAGTTCCAAAGAGCTGCCTACGGGACAGCCCAGGAGAGGGGAGCCTGGGTGTGATGTTGATGTTGACTTGTATGTGGTCCTGTTCCTTCCCGAACCCCTATACACATTTTAATAAAACACAGGTTGGCTTCTGACCTACAGAACAAAGGTGCTATGGCTCTCATTCCTGCACGCTGCTTCTCTGAGGTGCATGTGTTAGGGCCAGTGGCTGGGTGACAGCCCTTTAAAATAGATCCTAAAGGTATTATTCCCAAAAATGCACATGGCAAAGCTGATGCCATCTTTTCAGTTCTAGCCCTTGGAGTTCGCCGGGTCATGGGCTGGGGGAGGAGGGGCATGGGTGCCATCAGACAAGGCACAAACGGAAAATACGAGGAGTTAGATGATTTCTAGTGTTTCCTTAGTTTTTTTTTCTAGGTCTAACACAGAACCCTGCTTTGAACCTCCATAAATCTTTATGACATAGTTTTATAGCATCTGAATTGGAATCACCTCTTTATTCTCCTAAATGGAGATATGCTAAGAGACTGTAGCTTCGCTGTTTTCTATAACTCCTGTGATTTTCCTTTCAAGTCCTGCCCCCC